ACATAAGGTATGCAGCTGTATATAGTTGTAAATGTTAAAATAAATGTGAACTGGCTTGCTATACAATACCTTGTACTGCTGTAAATATGTGTATGAGAGGTGAAGGTGAACTCTGCGGGTATAAATCAGATATTTATCTTCGTATTTTCTCCTTATTAGATGTAGGCCGAATCGTTGGTTTTGGTATGAACGGGCTACTTTGAAAGCAAAGGGGATGAAAAAAGCTTCCTAAATTATGCCAGATAGTTTCTACTAGTGTTCATAGATTAAGTGAGTGCGACTTGAGATCACTGTACATTCTTTTGGCCTAGTATAACGGAAATTCCCTATTGTGTCAAACCTCTGCCGGTATTCCATTTGTCTTGACAGTGTAAAAATTATATAATACCTTATACTGCCACATCAGATTTAAAAAAAAACACTGGTGTAAACATGGGTGTGACACAGATAACATTGACAAAAATAATAATAATAATAATAATAATAACACTATCCTCTCGAAAATCTGTAATTTTAAAGTACTCAAAAAAATCTGGATTTCCTAATTAAACTAAGAGGATTGTTTCCAATAAGGTCTAGAAAACATTTTCAAAACAATTTTCAAGAAAACAAAACTGTTTACAACTTACAATGCCCGAAGGAAGACTCGGAAACAATGATCACAAGACAATAAAAGGGTGGTAAAAATGGTCAACGATTAGGTCTTAATAAATATAATCATTGACCGCAAGAGAAACATAACGATCTAAATAAAATGCCGCCAATGGTGCGACGTCATTGTTGAAAACGCAGTGAAGTTGGTGAGGTAACGTTTATTACTTTGTCTTGAATATGAATTAAAATCCTATTACGGCACTAAAACGTATAAGTATGCAAATATTTCAGTAAGGGGCTTACCCATTATATTAAAAAATATATTCTAGATTTTCTGGGAAAATTATATTTTATTTTGGAAGAGGGAAATTGGCCTTCAAGATTGGATTTTAGGTAGTCTTGGGAGGCCTGCTGAGTCATTGCGACAAGTTTCCAAAAACAAATACAGTATAAAACTCAAAATGCCACAACTACGAACTAATTAAAGGCAATCTTCTGTCACATATTCAATGTGTTATTTTGTCCGTAGTAGTAATAAAGCTTTATTTATTCACGAAAACATAACTCAACAAGTTTTTCATCATGGCCGTGATAAAAAAGAAAACCAAAAAATATAGTATATCAAATTTACAAAGCATACAATATAAAGGAAAGGCTTAAATACAATATAACAAAATATGATATTTTGGATTTGCGTCAGGAGAATCAATTAGGGGGCCTATATGTATTTTCT